ATTTGGAAGAACTTCTTATCAAGATGTCAGTACTGTCTAAAGTGACCAAAATTCAATGCACAAAATCAACTAATATGAGGTCTTTTCCACCTGGCTTCTTTTACTAAAATAATATTTTTCATACTCATCCATTGCTTTTTGTATATACAAACTCTTCCTTCATATTACTGTAGGAGTCCATGGCATTGACATTCTATATTTTTTTATCCATTCACCTGTGTTAGACCTGTGGTTTGTTTCCAGGTTTTATCTACTTAGTAAAGTTTCTACAAATACCCTCAAAAAAATTCAATGCAATCCCTGATGTTTTTCACAGAAAAAGAAAGCCTATCCTAAAATTCACATAGAAATTTGTTATATAATTATGGGCAAAATGTTAAAAAAAAGTTATGCCATAGCTCAGCTATGAACTATATTGTTTGAATAGAATGTGGTAAACATTAAATACTATATTATCTAAAATTTATGCATTACCAAATTGTGAACATCCTCATCCTCATTCAGGGTGTAAGGAATATCAAATTCCTGTCTTCTATAGTATAGTTTCAATAATGTGTAAAACTGAATCAAAAATAGCAGTGCATGCAAGTTAATTTCAATATCAGTACGTAAATAGCACAGAAATAAGTAAAAGGCTGTAGGTAGTGCCTTCGCATTATAGAATTCAGGCACTGGAAGAGATAGAGAAGAAAACTTGTTTTTCTAATATCTTTGTGGCTTACTACTTGATTGTTGGAATTATATGTAAACCTGTGATTAATATTTTTTTAAAAAAACAAAGAAATGATCAACAGTGTCCAATTTTGTAATGATGTTGAATACTCTACAAAGCAGTGCATAAGAGAATGAGAAGATAAAAAAAAATCAAAAGTCGTAAATAAACTCCTTTGAAAAGTTTTTACTAAAACATATAAAACTAGAAGTTGGATTTTTCACTGAAACATATAAAACCAGATTTGAGTAAGGAATGAAATTGAGTTTCAGTTAGAAAGAGAATAAGAGTTGACGGAAAATTGATAACAGGATATTTTTAGCATTAAAGATATTTAAACAAGTTTTAATGACAGAGTAGTGGTCAGTAAGATTGAAAAAATTATAGAAATATGAAGGGGACTTAATACTGAAGGAAAAGTTTCCTAAAGAACATAGGATCAAGAGCATGCATAGTAATCTATAAGCTGAACTAGAAGGAAGAAGGTACAAACATAGCTAAACTGTCTCCTTCATCCTCTAGCAAGTTCTTCTGGATCTCTTCCCAGTTCTTCTGCCCTTCCTATTCCTTTCCCTCTCCTTCTACCTCTCTAAATTAGGAAACAGAATAATCTTCTGAAAATAACAGAAACATTGACTTAAGGGAAAGGGTAGAGTATATAATAGATGCAAAAGAAAATTTCAAGGAAATGGGACATAGTACTTAAAATCTATCTAAAATT